GACGTCAACAGGGAGCCATGGCCGGCGTTGGCAGCTGTCTCTTATACACATCTAGATGTGTATAAGAGACAGCACCTATATTCGTTTTTTTTTGGGTTTTTTTTTTTTTTTTTTTTTTTAATCTTTTATTGGAGTGCGTGAGCGTTTCACGATTTGGAATGTAAATCTTCCACCGAATATTTTTTGTCGACAGTTTAAGGATGACACCACCGAATTTTTTTGTCGACAGTTTAAGGATGACAACGACCTTGTCCCCCATTGGCAAAAATTCGAGTTGTCGCTCTCTCTCTCGGGATCACACCAACGGATGCACACGGGGGGGGGAGGGGGGAGAGGGGATAACACAGCATCCGGAAACATGCTTGTGTGACGGGGGCGACCTCCCACCGGAGAACTGAAAAAAAATGCCCAAAGGAATGTAGCGGGAAATGATGTTCATGGAAATGGATGCTTCGGGCTGTCTGCAGCGTTGATTTCTGGGTTTTTTTTTTTTTTTTTTTTCAGTGTTTCCTAGGCCATTTTATTTATTTTTATTTTATTTTTTTGCTTTCAATAACATAGCGTACACTACCTGCCCCCAACTACTCCTGATCATAGTGTTGCGGGGAACCCATGTTGCTATACTCTGGAGTGACAGTGGCTAGGTAGTGTACTGTATATTAGAGAGCCTTGTGTGAAGTGTGTGGTTGATTCAATCGTTGACTCTGAACTTAGCTTAGCCTGCATAGGGGTTGCCGGTACTCTCGCTGTGGTGAGCAATGTGTTTATCAGTTGTGGAGCTATTGCCAGGCAATTAGGGAACTGGCCAAGGAGGGGATCATAGAACATTAGATGAAGAAAGTTGTAACGAAGCAGGGGATGAGATTGTCGTCATTCCATTGTATACATTGCCTCAATTTTGTTTTCTCTTTCGAAATGTTGTACAAGTGTGTACCAGTAGAGTTGCACTCTCTAGCCCTTGTTTGTATACCCTCGGCCGGACTTCCTCGGTGTATAGATTGCAATGTGAAAGTCCAGTTTCTGCCTCTCAGCAGGAAAAAAAAAAAAAAAAAAAAAAAAAAAAAAGCAAGGCGCACAGGAGTCGGGCCACAGATAGATGAATGAATCTGACCGCAGTTGTAACAAATATAACTTGCCACCGATCATGGATGCATCTGGCTGCAATCGCGCCCCCAGATAAGTCGAAGAAATGGATAGTTCAGTACTATGTACCGTGAGTGTGCCCAGAGAGATAGGATTGCAGTTCACAAAAAAAAAAAAAAAAGTATGATTATAGATTTGTTTTCACATTGCAAGCAAAGAAAAACACAGCGACCACCACTTCACCAATAAATAAACACTGTGGCCAGTGCAGTTCCCACACCACTCTTAAAAACAAAAACAATGTGCAGACTCTCTCTCTCTCTCTCTCTCTCTCTCTCTCTCTCTCTCTCTCTCTCTCTCTCTCTCTCTCTCTCTCTCTCTCTCCACGTGCACTGTCTGTATTCAGTGATCTTTGCGGACGCCTCCGCGCATAGTCCTCCTATCTCCTGTTCTGCCGGTTCTGTTGTTCACGTACGTGGTGCGCTACCACTGTTCGCAGGGCATCGTGCATGCGGCGGCCTGCATCACGAGCTTGCCGAGCTGTGAGCTCCGGTGGAGGTGGCGGAGCGATGTCGTCATCGTTGTCATCGTCCGGGTGGCGGTGCACATTCCGTGGAGCAAGAGCCGGGTCCATCTGAACCCCGCAGCGTATCAGCAGGTTGTGAATCACACACACGGCACGGAACTGCAGGGACAATGAAGTGATGTGAGGTTTATGGGTGCGCAGAAACATGCGCCACATGCCTTTGAGCCTGCCAAATGCTCTTTCCACACGACCACGACATCTTTTCTGCGCAGTGTCGAACACCTCCGTGTCAGAGCCATCCTCTTGAGGCCCTCCAAAAGGCACCACCAACCATGGCAAGCTAGGATACCCGCCATAGCCCAGTAAGTAACCGCTGGTCTCAATCCCGCCAGGGAGGGCAAGCGGATCAGCACGAAACAGTGATCCGTCTTCAGCCCTCTCACGTAGAGACGAGTTCATCAGCACACGCACGTCGTAGCTTGTGCCGGTTGCCCACCTGTACAGGGCGTACGCGGCCAGTTTGTCCGGCGGCGTGGGCGCCCTGTACCATGTGTGTTGGCGCTGCAGGTATGGTTCCAGGTTCGCAACGAGGCCACGGAACACCACCTCTCGCATCCTCATGTTGTCGAAGTAATAGTCTTCAGCAGCATCATCGCCTCGTGTCATATTATGCCATGCCCCATCTGCCCTCGGCCGAACCCACCATCGAGGTGGAGAGGGTCCCTCCATAACAGCCATGGCCGTCGCCATTATCATGAAGGATGAATCCAACACGGCCAGTTGCAGCAAATCACTCTCAAAAGACATCTGCATGAAGTGTTGGAGGAGCAATGCCATCTGCCGCGCAAGTGTCTACATTTCCTGCGTGCCTTGTATGGCGATGATCGCCGCAGCTACAAGTAGCAGCACTCATCGTCCATGCTCCTGCTCCTGTCGTGCACGATCCCAACGAGGAGGCATGACCAACCTGATGTGTTGACGTCAACAGGGAGCCATGGCCGGCGTTGGCAGTGATCGCGCTGGGGTCCATACTTCCCGGGTGTCAACCCAAGCCAGAACGTCCACGTGGCGCATAAACAGCTGCCACTCCACATGCAAGGCGTGCGCTAAATTGAGAGGCAGACGGGTCTGATCGGTAATGGCGCCATCGGCCACACAAAAAAGCTCGCGGAGGGCACGTCGCTTGCGGAGGAAAACTCTGCTGGCGGAGGACAACTCGTCTTCCGCAGGCAAGCGGAAGCCGCTTTGGCCACGCGGTTCCCGGTACCCGTCCCAATGAGGCGCAGGCCCGTATTGGTACTTTCGTGGAGAAAATGCCAGCCGCCGCATAGCACACACGAAACACACGCGAATACCGTCAGGTCGCTTGCGCGAGATCGTTCGTGTGTGCTGTGCGGCGGTGACGCCAGAAACGAAATGAAAAGATGCTTTCGGGCCTCGCGAAGCCCCGCGAGTTCGACGCTCGTTAAACTGCCGTTTTGGAGTCCAGTCCCCTCTGAACTGTACACTGCAGGCCAAACTCCTCCGTCGCGTGGCTGTCGCAGTGCAGAGTTTGTAACTGCAGTCTAGTCATCCACCTCAGAGGGCCAGGCCGTTTTCAAAAAACAAAAAAAAGAAACAAGAAGAAAAGAAGAAAAGATTGTGGCGCTATATCTTTCCATGTTCTAGCAGAAGATTCACTCTCAGTTTCCACGATTGATAGGGCCTTGCTCCACTACTCTCGAAATGTGCAAAAGGAGAGTGAATCTTCGCTAGAACATGGAGAACATGGAAAGATACAGCGCCATGATTTTTGTCTTTTGTGCAATGGGAATACAGGGGCCCAAAAGGGTTACACGGTCTGATAACACGCAGAGGCCCCGCGCTGACAACAACCCAGTTTCTTTTCTTTTTTTCTTCTCTTTTGTTTTCCTTCTCAGATTTCCCTACCTATGCCTGTCATCCTTGGGGCCTCGTGGCAGTGCATCTTTCCATGTTCTAGCGGAAGATTCACTCTCGTTTTGCGCATTTTGAGAGTAGTGGAGTCCCCCTTGCCCCCCTCTCTCCACTACTCTCGAAATGTGCAACACGAGAGTGAATCTTCTGCTAGAACATGGAAAGATACAGCGCCATGATTTTTGTCTTTCGGGCATGTCAGGAATAGTGGAGCAAGGCCCTCTGTGTTTTTTTTGGGTTTTTTTTGTTCCTTTTTTTTCCTCCCATCTTGGCCTCTCGCGTGGCTGGCCACAGCCGTGATGCCTCGGCCACAGCCGAGGTAAAAAAAAAAAAAATCAAAAAAAAAAGCATCTCTTTGCATGGCTGGGCCACGGCCGCGATGCCTCGGCCACGTTCGGAAAAAAAAAATACAAAAAAAAAAACAAAGAGGCCACATGCCGGACTGGACTGCAGCTGCAAGCTTGGCCTTGCGACTTTTCTGCATGTCAAGAGTTTCGACTGCAGCTGAAATTTGGGACCCTACTGGACTCCAAAAAGGCCTTTCGAAATGCATTTTCAAATGGCTTTCGCGACTGCGCCCTAGTTACCCTGAAAGCGAAACGAGGTGAGTTAGGGCCTCACCACACAAATGTCGAAAACTGCATTTTCGGCATTTTCTCCTTGCCACACAGCATGTCCAAATCCGAGATGCAAAAAAAAATTCAGGAGCTGTCAGGGAAAGGGTTTCGACACCTCCTCTCGAGAAGGGCTCGTTTCCACTTCAGACCTGCAACTTGGACATTTTGAACAGTCCTCGGATGGGATGTCGAGTTCTTGGGATGTCAAGTTCTTGTCCAAATCTCGAAAAGGAGAACGGACCAATGGTTGTCCTATCTTCACCCCAGGACTCGTGAGTTCTTCACTTCTACATGCTGTGTGGCGAAGAGGGTTTTTCTGGCAAAAGAGGGAATGTCCAGAATTTCCTGACATATGTCGATGTAGTGATGTTTCTACAAGGCCCTAACTTTACTGAGGGCACGCTCACACTGCGGTAGCAAATCCGTATAAATTGCAAAAATGGGTTGGGCCGAATTGGGGTGTTTGGGACGTTTCAGGTCACACTGCGTTCACACCGCGTCCCATTTCGCTAAAGACACGGTCGCTACCGTGCCATCAGGGTGCTGCTGTTTGGGGTTTCCAGTCACACAGAAGTAACCCCAAATATAGAATGTACATGTTCCCTTTTCAACTTTGCATTCATTTACGAAAATTAAATAAAAAAAGAATAAGGATTTTGCGGTAACCTCTGGAGGTTAACGCAAATTCCTCAAACCCGCGGCCAGGCAGGCAGATTACAAATGGGTTTGCGAATGGGGTGTTTGGGGTCGGAACCATTGTGTGTGACCAGCTGTGTGCACATTTTTTTGGGAGTTTTACGGTTTTGGTACCCAGTGTGACAGTGCCCTGAGTTTAGGATGTAAGGGAGATCCTTTATTATTCTGTTTAGGATCGTTTATGTGAACAAGCTGTTGAGACATGTGACTACTTTTTTTACATGGCATTAAATTTTGTGAGTGCTTTGCACAGTGCCTGTGTTGCCAGGGATCAGCATCTGCGATACAGTGTACGAATGACCTGGCTGTTCATCGCTTTTGCTTTTCTTTTTTTTTTTTCCAATATGAAGGTGCTCAGAACAAGGAGGAGACTTCACCCTTCTCCAAAAAACAAAAACAAAAACAAAAAAAACAAAAAAAGACTTCACCCTTCTCCAAAAAAAAAAAAAAAAAAAAAAAGCAAGGACTACACTTGTTGGGGCCTCACGAGTCACCACAGGACGGGCATGCTCACACTAGGGGTCTTTTTCACAAAATTGCGAAATCTGCTACGGTATTGCAGTCACAGAATGCCCCCGCCCGCCAGCAAAATGGCAAACCATGTAGTATATGTCAGCGGCCTGCTGGGCAAATTCGCATTTGCTTCTCTGGATTACAAATAAAGAAGAAGAAAGCCTCAGCGGGCAGGAAAACGTAATCACTTGGGTACTAAAGTCCAGAAGAAAAAAAGGTCACCATCTGCTATCAGCTGTGTGACCACTCAGATAGCAGATTGAGTAATTTTCATAAAGTCTGGGCCATGTCTCATTCAAAAGGGCCACCGTGTGTGAGTCTGCGGCACACCCAATTCTCAAAATCACGGAAGCAAAATTGCAGATTTTGCAACTTTGCTTACTGTGTGTGAGTATGCCCGTAGGCCAGAATGAATAGGAACCAAACTGAAATTCGCTACAAAGATGTGTAGAAAGGAGCCATCGAGCTAGCACTTTCCAACTCTGAGGCTTCTTTTGCATCTGCCCTCAGGGTAGGTAACTGCTTCACGATGTTTATTTAAAAACTAAACAGTTACTACAGGGACAGTTATAATAGATCCCCCCGCGACAAAAGGTTTGCACCCCCAAAGTGTCGGAGACCCCGGCCGAAAGGCTTGAGGCGGGGGGGGGATCCGTGACTTTTGGCACCAGCTTTCGGGAACCTATCGGACCTTTTGCCATGGTCCAGGGGCAAACGAGAACAGACGTTTTGTTGGGGGGGGGGGAGATCCATAACTTTTCCCAAAAACTACGTCTGAGTCATGGTTTGGGTTACCCTGGGACCCACGGGATTGACTGAGGGCCTCACTGCTACTACTTTGCTCAGACAATCTCATACCTCGTTGTATGTGGGGCATTGTGGGACACAGGGACCCGCTTTCCAGCGGGTGATGCTCCACGCCAATAGATGGAGTCTCCCTGGGGTGCTACCGTAGCGGTGATTGCTTTTATCAACACCTCTATCGTTCCAATTTTAACGGATGTCCTAAAATTGGAACGATACAGAGAAGATTAGCATGGCCCCTGCGCAAGGATGACACGCATAAATCGAGAAATGGTCCAAAATAAAAAAAAATAAAAAAAAAAATAAAAAAAAAAGGGTCATGGTTTAGGTTTCAGAAATGCAAAAAAGAGCTCAAATGTAGTTCTGTTGCAGCAGCAGTTTGGAATAAGCAAAAAAAGTGGTCATATTTTGTGCCGTTTTGGAACTCAGGCCCTCTGCACACCACGGCCCAGCGCTGCAGTAACGACATCTTTTTTTTTTTGGGGGGGGGGGGGGGGGGGGGGGGAAGAGAGGAATCCATTATCATGAAACCATGAGGCTGGGAATCCTCACAAACAACCCGGAATGTGAACATTGTAGCACCTGACTGGGACCATTACCCAGAATTGGTATGTGGGGCTTACCCCAACGACACTTGGCTAAGACAACCAATAAAAATAAAAAAATATAATAAAAAAAAAAAATCCAGGAAAAGGAAAGTCTGGAGGCCTTTAGGTCCCTACCAGACAAAAGGTAACAAAAGCACAAACAACACCAATCTGTTTTTTGTTGCCTTGTCGAACGTCGGTCCTCTTACTCCTGGACACTCTCAATTTGCTGCCCTTACTATCCCTCATTCTTCCGTCTGCGGAAACAACATAGCAGTTCGGGCAATGTATACAACCCCGCTTTCTGCCCAGGTAGGGTGCCCCAAGGGTTTCAACTGAGGCAGGGTGGACCGCTCCGTCCTCTTACTCCTGGACACTCTCAATTTGCTGCCCTTACTATCCCTCATTCTTCCGTCTGCGGAAACAACATAGCCAATCGAGTGCGCCGGGCCGGTTACAGTTACGACAGCCACGCTTATAAGAAAGTGCCAAAAAAAAAAAAGGGGGTAACTTCAGTAGAGTGACAAAAAGGATTTGTAATTGCACTATGGGGCAAGATACAGTTTGCAATTGCACTTGGGGCACCCTACCTGGGCAGAAAGCGGGGTTGTATACATTGCCCGAACTGCAATTCGAAACTGTATCTTGGCCCATACTGCAATTATAACTCATTTTTTTGTGACTCCCGTGTAGTTTCCCCGTAAAACAAAAAAGAAAGTCCCATGCTGTTTTTTGTTGCCTTGTCGAACGTGGCGCATGAGTGACCCACGGGTACATGTTCTTTTTGCTTATTCGCTCGCCGAGGAGCTGGCTCTTGTCTTAAAAATGAAAAAGCAAAAGTCTCAGTTGGCTCTTGTTTGAAAATTTTAAAAGCAAAAG